GTCTTCTGTCGAACCAGCATGTTCGAAAACCAGCCGGGAATCGTACGATTCTCGGCTGGTTAGAACGGTGCTCGGAAGATAAATGCTGAACGGGCACACTGCCCGTTCAGCATTGCGGTCATCGGAAGCCCGCCCCTCAGGGGGGCGGGCTTGCGATGATCGAGAGTGCGATCTGCCTGTCCAAGATAGGCAGATCGTACGTTTTTTTAATCCCTGTACAACCATCGCAAGACTAAAGTCTTGCGATGGTTGTAGAGTGTATGGCCACCTTTACACAGCTAGGTGAGCTGAAAGATCAAAGCCTGCATTGATATGTTTGTTTTTGAAAAGGACACTATTTTGGAAACTACATTGGAGTACAGGAAAAAACTGAATAATGCTATGAAGTTTTGTGCTTTCTGCAATTAAAGGACTGTATTTCATGAATGCAGAAATACCTGCTTACTGTGTGCTGTGGAAAATAAAGTTTTTTTGAAAAGTCAAGTGGACTGTCTGGTGTTGTATTCAGGGCTGCTATCAGAAACTTTGGGCCTGGGAGATCCCCGCCAAAGTACACTAACCGCACTCCCTTTTCACTTACACTAACCGCACTCCCTTTTCACTTACACTAACCGCACCTCATCCAACATGTACAGGCTGCTAGGTGGTCTCTGGTGAACTGCGGGCTCTCTGCTAAAAACACTTACCTTACCACTCAAGCGACTCTGCTCTGTCTAGTACAGACAAAGCTCCACCTCCTGAACACCCTTCCTGCATGTACAGGAAGGTACCAAGATACAGTGGGAGGGGGGCCAGAACCATACCAGGTGATTTATTGCTCTTATTAGCGACAACAAAAACAGTGGCGGACGTAAGGAACAGATTGCCCCGGCAGTCTCTGCACCAGAGGAGTTTACACTGTAATGTTCCCCCACAGTCTCACACATGGATTTTAAGGGGAGACACCACACAAAAACACAGAAAATGGGGTTACCGCCTTAACATCAGAGTCCACCCTTTCACATCAGAAGCCCCATCTCTCATATTAGAAGCCCCTCTTTCACTTCAAGGTTCTCCCCCTTTCACATTAAGCCCCCCTTTTTGCACAAAGATTCCCCCCCCCCTTCATATTAGGACACCCCTACACATCATAGTGCAGGCTGTGGCAGCATGGCAGATGGCGAGAGGTGGAGCAGACTTGGAAAGAGGCAAACTTCTCTCCTTTTCTGAATGGATCCCACCCTCCCTGGATTAGCGTCATTTGTTTCATTGGTGTTGGTGGCCGGCCTACCTGCACCATAGAAACGCATTAGGATGTGCAAATATTTCGAGGTACCCCTGAGGAAACCCGAATCCCGAATGAGAAAAGCTGTTATAGAGTAATAGTGTAAATAGAATATATGTGTTGCGTACAGCACCTAGTCAGATTGCAGCTAATTTTTCTGGGTCTGTGGAGATTAATAAGGTTTGGTGTCAATGGAAACCAATCCTATCACACTTTAGGCATTCCTTAGACTACTGCAAAGTGTACCAGTTAATAATACTTCTATCACTGGGACTTCTACATTCTAAGTTTCTAGATTCAGTATGTGTTGTGCTTACATATTTACTAATATAACAAATATAATATAACAAATTACCAAATCAAACTTACTGCTTGATTTGGTCTTGCACCATCCTGAGCTCTTGAACAAGGTCTTCAAAATAGCTCTTTTCAGTCTCCAAGACCTGATTTATTCTCTCCAGCTCCTAAAGAAATATTATCCAAACCAAAAGGCATCAGCAAACCTGAAAGATCCATTCATGTTTAATTTGTAATGTGAAAATCAATGCACATAGTGCAGGGGCCCATAGTACCCAAATAACAATAGGTTGTTACTGATCTGGATAAATTACAATAAAATCTGGATGTCTGCTATAGGTTACAATACAACGCTATTTATCCTTCCTCTTTGCACTACCGTACATAAAGTAGACCTAGCATAAATATATTTTGTATCTTATAATGTGTAAGTGTTACACTTCAAGGTATTTATTGCCTCTCGTGGAGATCACAGTATTTTTTTGAAAAGTCAAGTGGACTGTCTGGTGTTGTATTCAGGGCTGCTATCAGAAACTTTGGGCCTGGGAGATCCCCGCCAAAGTACACTAACCGCACTCCCTTTTCACTTACACTAACCGCACTCCCTTTTCACTTACACTAACCGCACCTCATCCAACATGTACAGGCTGCTAGGTGGTCTCTGGTGAACTGCGGGCTCTCTGCTAAAAACACTTACCTTACCACTCAAGCGACTCTGCTCTGTCTAGTACAGACAAAGCTCCACCTCCTGAACACCCTTCCTGCATGTACAGGAAGGTACCAAGATACAGTGGGAGGGGGGCCAGAACCATACCAGGTGATTTATTGCTCTTATTAGCGACAACAAAAACAGTGGCGGACGTAAGGAACAGATTGCCCCGGCAGTCTCTGCACCAGAGGAGTTTACACTGTAATGTTCCCCCACAGTCTCACACATGGATTTTAAGGGGAGACACCACACAAAAACACAGAAAATGGGGTTACCGCCTTAACATCAGAGTCCACCCTTTCACATCAGAAGCCCCATCTCTCATATTAGAAGCCCCTCTTTCACTTCAAGGTTCTCCCCCTTTCACATTAAGCCCCCCTTTTTGCACAAAGATTCCCCCCCCCCTTCATATTAGGACAAAAAACCCCCTTCATATTAGGACACCCCTACACATCATAGTGCAGGCTGTGGCAGCATGGCAGATGGCGAGAGGTGGAGCAGACTTGGAAAGAGGCAAACTTCTCTCCTTTTCTGAATGGATCCCACCCTCCCTGGATTAGCGTCATTTGTTTCATTGGTGTTGGTGGCCGGCCTACCTGCACCATAGAAACGCATTAGGATGTGCAAATATTTCGAGGTACCCCTGAGGAAACCCGAATCCCGAATGAGAAAAGCTGTTATAGAGTAATAGTGTAAATAGAATATATGTGTTGCGTACAGCACCTAGTCAGATTGCAGCTAATTTTTCTGGGTCTGTGGAGATTAATAAGGTTTGGTGTCAATGGAAACCAATCCTATCACACTTTAGGCATTCCTTAGACTACTGCAAAGTGTACCAGTTAATAATACTTCTATCACTGGGACTTCTACATTCTAAGTTTCTAGATTCAGTATGTGTTGTGCTTACATATTTACTAATATAACAAATATAATATAACAAATTACCAAATCAAACTTACTGCTTGATTTGGTCTTGCACCATCCTGAGCTCTTGAACAAGGTCTTCAAAATAGCTCTTTTCAGTCTCCAAGACCTGATTTATTCTCTCCAGCTCCTAAAGAAATATTATCCAAACCAAAAGGCATCAGCAAACCTGAAAGATCCATTCATGTTTAATTTGTAATGTGAAAATCAATGCACATAGTGCAGGGGCCCATAGTACCCAAATAACAATAGGTTGTTACTGATCTGGATAAATTACAATAAAATCTGGATGTCTGCTATAGGTTACAATACAACGCTATTTATCCTTCCTCTTTGCACTACCGTACATAAAGTAGACCTAGCATAAATATATTTTGTATCTTATAATGTGTAAGTGTTACACTTCAAGGTATTTATTGCCTCTCGTGGAGATCACAGTACTTACCCTGCATAGCCACTCACAACCTGAGCACAGAAAATGTTAAAAAAGAAATCAAACGTGTTAAGAAAATAAACCATGGAGCAGCTTTAGAGCCTGATTTTTTTTCTCTCTGTGCCCAAGTCAATGTGGCCTTTACATAAACCCACACTTGTCAGTGTAATACCTAAAAACTAATGGCATAAATGAAGCAGCAATGTGTAAAGCTGGCCATACACTATACAATCAGTTTGTACAGTCTCTTTCAGATTTGTTATAACTACAGTATAACACATAAGGACATACTTAATCAATCCATTCAGTTTATTTGCAATCAGACAGGCCCTTGCACAGCCTAGCTGGTGGTAAATCTAAAAGAGGTTATGCAATTTGACTGTATAATGTATGGCCAAGTACGCACTGGGGGGGGGCAGGGTATCACACTACTATTTTGAGGGCAAACCCGCAAAAACCAGCGCTTAGTGTAATAAATAAATAAAATACATGAATAAAAATGCAATGATTGTGCTAATATTATGTGCAAAAGTTCTATATGATATAAGTGCAAATATATATCGTGTGGGAGTACAATAATTATATTTTTTAAATTCTTCCACAGTGCAATCCAATCTCCAAATTATTCACTCCCAGGAGTACAACAATAACCATAAGAGCCCAAACACAGATCATCAGTATGGATGATCTCAGGTTCTGACAGAACCCGATCTGAACCTGAGCTCCTCCGGACCTGAAGAGTCATGGAGCCACCCGCCCAATCAGCTGCAGCCTGGGGCATTCCCTGCCCTGCAGCCAAACATATGGGATGCTTGTGATGATGTTGTTGACCTTATGTGGCCATATAAGGCCAATAAGGCCACTGCATCTAGCCCCTTTACTTATGTGCTGCTGCAGGAATTTCCAGTCGCATCTGGTTGGACAGTGGTGGAAGGAGCTTCCTTTTGTGTTCAGGGGAGCTCCTTCCAAGTTTGGAGGAGCTTGGGTTTGGACCTGAGCTCATCCCTAATCCTCAGCAGTGTGAATCAATATGCAGCATATGCTGGTGTTTGTTTTCTTTTGTTTTCAAAATGATTTATGAGAATTTTAGCAATGTGGTATAACAACAAAAGCAACAACATCTCACAGAATACAAACCCCACCCATCAAGTAGAAAAAAGGTACGAGCACGGTAAGTGCATTAAAATGCATATTATAGAAAAACATAGCAGTAATCAAGACCTCATGGAAAAAAAGACATCCATACACAACCAGAAAGCCAACATGTTTCTCCCTTGCATCGCTTGAGAGCACAATATGATGGAAACAGGATACAGTCCCATAAAAAGGAACAAGGCGAAAATCTCCAAAGAGACTGCGTAAGGGAACTTGCATAGGGAAAAACCAAGAGCTCCCACCAAAAGAGGCGAGGCAGCACATATAGGAATAATGAAAAACATCAGTGGAAAAATAAGGAGCAAGAAAAAGAAAAAGAGAAGAAAAAGAAAGAAAAAGGAGAAAAAAAGAACAAAAGAAGAGAAAAAAAAGAAACTCACCACCAGGAAGACACCACGTCAACAGCAGTGGCAGCAAGTGGGTCAAAGTTGCAGCACAGCGAAATCAAACCCACCTGCACGAAGGTTGTCAATCAACGGAGACCATATTTTAAGGAATTTAGCATGTTTGTCATAGTGGTCAATTTCTCATTGATCATGGTGCCCGGGACTCTGCTTAACTTCTGTAAACTGTAATGTGGGATGCTTTCCGACCATGTCAATGGTCTGCTTGGTGGCAATAAAAATATGATGGACCAAGATACCCTTCTGTCTAGACAGACCATCGATAGATTTGTTCAAAAGGGATTCCCAAGTGTTTCTCTGCAGAGTACAATGCAATAGAGAGCGAATTAGGTTATAAACCCTGATCCACAGTTTTTGAGCCTTGGGATAAGTCCACAGTAACATGGATAAGTCCACCAAACATGGAGCCCTGGGATAAGTCTACCAAAGTGCCACGAGCATCACAGCCCCTGAAACAAGCAGGGGAGTTGGCAGGGCAATATTTGGCTATCCTGTCTGGCGTTAGATACCAACGCATCAAAACTTTATACGAGTTCTCTAACGCCACTATATTAGTAGAGCTCCCAGCTACTTGAGCCCAAATAGAATACCTGTCTTCTAAATCTAGCGAAGAGCCCAGATCACACTCCCACTTCGAAATCGAGACATAAGGCTTAGTAGAAGACAGGGGTGCGTTAAGCTCTGTGTAGAGTAGAGAGACAAGGCCCATGGAATAAGGTTCCTTAAGGCAACAGCGTTCAAAAGGGGTGAGTGTCAAGGGAGTGGTAATTTTGCTTCGAAGTGAGGAATCCAAGAAATGCTTAATTTGAAGATACTGGAAATGTTCCAATCCAGGGAGCATCCACAGTTCCTGAAGACATGAAAAATCCTTGATACCAGCAGAGGTAAAAAAGTCATAAGCATATTTAAGAGAATGTTTGCAGCTAATTCTGGAAAGCTTGGGGTTCTTCTAAAGCTGGGCTAAACAAAGGGGAATGGAAAATGCCTGACAAAGGTAAATGGGATTCAACAGCATCCCATCTAGAGAAGGTGTGTTGCAGCGTAGGGTCTTGAATCCAGGGCCTGTGCTTAGGTGGAAGCCAAATTAAATTGTAGGTGGGAAATTTCAACGCTTATTAATCACTTGAAGACCAGGGTGTTAAACCTCCTTCCTGTCCAGGCCGTTTTTTAGTATTCAGCGCTGCAGTACTTTGACTGACATTTATTCCGTAATGCAACGCTGTACTGAAATTAATTGTATGCCATATTTTGAGAACAGATAGAGCTTTCTTTTGGTGGTATTTAATCACCGCTGGGTTTTTTTTACTATATAACAAAAAAGTACCCAAAATTTTGAGAAAAAGCCTGTTTCCCCATGAAATGTTATGAAACATTTATTATCACGCCAAATTTTTTGGTAAAATATAAAAGACAGGGTCACGTCAGGTAAATAGACACCAAACATGTCAAGCCTCAAAATTTTGCAAGCCTGCAAAATCGCAAAACACTACAATGAACGCAATCGACGCTTTCACACTTAGGCACACCTGACGCATGTTTGCGTGTGTATGTGGGGGCACGGCTCTTTAAAAAGTGTTGTGTTTTAAAAAAAAAAAATTATATGTGATTTGATATGTAATTTTTTTTTTACACTTAACTTTATTGCTATCACATAGGGGGCTTAGAAGCTTCCTATGCGATAGCCAATTTACGGGACAGGTCCTCTTTATGGAGACATCAGGGGTCTCCAAGACTCCTAATGTCACCTAGGAACCCAAGAGAAGCTGATGAAGCAGAGATCTGCCTCACCAGTTGAAGCCGTTATAGCGGCAAAGGATAGGCCAACTCAATATTGAACCCTACGGACTAAGACTGTAATGCCATTAAAGTTCATGTGCTTGTAAAGGCAGGCGTCCCAATACTTTTGGCAATATAGTGTATATCCAGGTTTTAGAGTAGCATATGCTCCCATCCAGACAATGTCTATAACAGGGAAGACCTTGCATATTTCAGTAGGACAATGCTAAGCCGCACACTGTAGCTATGACAACAGCATGGCTTCGTAGTCGAAGTGTCTGGGTTCTTAACTGGCCTGCCTGCAGTCCAGACCTTTCACCAATTGTAAATATTTGGCGGATCTTGAAATGAAAAATACGACAAAGAAGACCCAGAACTGTTGGGCAATTACAATTCTATATCAGGCACAAATTGGACATTTATTTCCCTAAAATCTAGCAACAGGTCTCCTCAGTTCCTAGACATTTACTGAGTGTTGTTAAAGGAGAACTATGGGGTCAGTGTTTTTCCCCATAGTTCTCCTTAGGGTAACGGGAGGACACAAACTAGCGTCCTCCCATCACCCTAAGCTCAGTATACTGCAAGCTACAGCTACAAGCTACAGCCCGGAGCGGATCCCGACGTAGATGACGGGATCCGCCCAGCTGCGTGAGTGACAGCTGGCTCTGCCTATCTAGAGGCACAGCCAGCTGTACCCGCCCCCTCCCCCGTCCGTTCCGCCAGTCAGTGCTGGCAGATAGGAGCGGGGAGAAGGGAATCCAGGCTTCCCCCTGTCACGGCAGAGAGACGTGACAGGATCGAGAGGTGAGCGAACCTGGTATGTGTTCGCTCACCTCCCGATCTACTGAGCCGACCTGTGACAGTCTCATTATCACAGGTCGGCTAGAACAATGAGGTGAGTGGAAATCACTCATCTCATAGTTCTCCTTTAAAAGAAGAGGGGATGCTACACAATGGTAAACATGGTTCTGTTCCAAATTGTTTTAATACGTGTTACTGCCATCAATTTCAAAATGACCTTATTTTTTCATTTCATGCTTAACAACTGCCTCCTTCTAGTAACTAGATTTCCATTGGCTAAAACAAAAACACTTGAGCCTGAAAAACACGCAAGACAAAAAAAAAAGCTTCAAAATCACCTGAAAGCGCTCATGCTTACGTTTATTGTTGTACTCCTGGGAGTGAATAATTTGGAATTGGACTGCACTTTAGAAGGATTTGAACAATATAAGGACTGTATGCACATGATATATAATTGCACTTATTTTATATTTAGGTTTTTTACACAAAATATTTGCACAATTACTGTTTTGGGGTTTTTTTGTTTATTGATTGGTTCATTGGTTTATAATAATTTGCATTTTTAAATCACTTGTGATATTTTAACAGTTAACATATTTTAACAGCCAATGACTTTTGTTCATTTTTCAAAGCTTTAAGCCCAGACTTTTACACACATATTATTCACTGTATTGAGGGATCGGAGGGGATATTTAACAATTTATGAACTTGTCCTTTAAATGATGAACATATATATTGATTGATTTATTAATTAGATACACTTGTAGAAACACATATGTGCTCTGCCTTTTGGATACTCAAGCATGTGTATAATGAATTGGAAAGTGAAATTGGTCAATGCTTTCTAAAGATTCCCATCTTACAGTTTCAAGGAAATCGAGCAATTAAGCAGTTAATTTGTTTGTCTGCTACGTCACCTCTTTCTGCTCGCGCTGTGAGCACAGCTCCTCTGTCTCTGTCATCAGTTTATCTGTAGAACAACCAGCAGAAATGTGAGTATAGTTCTGTACATACTGGAATGGTCTGACATCTGAGAGTAATCTGTCAGTATAATATATATATATTATATACACATATACACACACACACACACACACACACACACACACACACACAGTACTGTGCAAAAGTTTTAGGCAGGTGCTGAAAAAGTAAGAATGCTTTCAGAAATAAAAGTGTTAATAGTTTATTTTTATCAATTAACAAAATGGAAAGTAAATGAACAGAAGAGAAATCCAAATCATATCAATGTTAGGTTTGACCACCCTTTGCCTTCAAAACAGCATGGTAGCAGGTGCAATGGAGTTAGAGATTTGGTCAGGCTCAATGGTGTACTCAATGCTGAGAAATACGAGCAGATACTTATCCACCTTGCCATACTATTAGGGAGGCGTATGATTGGCCCAAATTTATCCTGCAGTAGGACAACAACCCCATACATACAGCCAATGTCATTAAGAACTATCTACAGCGTAATGAAGAACAAGCAGTCCTGGAAGTGATGGTTTGGCCCCCACAGAGCCCTGATTTCAACATATTGAGTCTGTCTGGGATTACATGAAGAGACAGAAGGATTTGAGGCAGCCTACATCCACAGAAGATATGTGGCTAGTTCTCTGAGATGTTTGGAACAACCTACCTGCCGAGTTCCTTCAAAAACTGTGTGCAAGTGTACCTAGAGGAATTAATGCTGTTTTTAAGGAAAGGGTGGTCACACCAAATATTGATTTGATTTGGATTTCTCTTCTGTTCATTTACTTTCTATTTTTTTAAATTGACAAAAATAAACTATTAACAATTTTTTTTCTGAAAGCATTCTTACTTTACAGCATTTTTTCACACCTGCCTAAAACTTTTGCACAGTACTGTGTATATATATATATCTCTATATATCTCTATAGATATATATATATATCTATATATCTATAGATCTATACCCAACCAATCTCCGGGACCGTACCTAAAAAAAATTCCACACCCTCTTGCTCAAGCATCCCTGTAACCACAACAAAACTATGTGTGGGAAACAAGTATGCTGCCATGCGGTGGTACCAGGAAATGAAAATTACCGAAAGGCAAGTACTCAATTTTCGGTTTTCCTGGTACCTACATGGCAGCCAACATATGGTTAAATAACTAGACAAACTCTGGGCGGGTATGCCGAATCATTTATTTACACATGGAAGAATGCAGAATTCTTTCTCCAAATTGCCTGGATGTTAAGGTCACCTGGGTCCATGGTTTCATGGTGTATAAATGTTGAAAAGGATGACCATGTTGCTGCTCTACAGATAGTTTCAGGGGATACTTTTGCAAAAGACGCCCATGATGCTGCCAAGCCTCTGGTGGAATGTGCCATCATCGTTCTCAGAGGGGATTTGCCCTCAGCCCTATACGTCTGTCAAATTAAGGTTGTAATCCAGTTGGCAATCGATCAGGAAAATGCAGGGTCACCTCTCCTGATCCCTCTTGGGATGACAAAGAGCCTATTTGTCTTTCTAAATTCCTTAGTTGTCTCAAGATAGTGTTTGATCGCTGCATCCAACTCATGAAGAATTATGAATCTTCTTAATTGAAAAGCGCTGGTAGTACCCATTCATGGTTACAGTGAAACGTGGTAGTTACTTTTGGCACAAACTTGTGAATTGGCCGCAAGACCACTCTGTCTGGAAAAAAGGCGAGATACACCAACGCATGGATTTCCAAAACTCTCTTTGCTGATGTGATTGCCACCAAGAAAACGTTTTTTAGTGAAATATTTAACAAAGAACATTCTTCCGTTGATGAAAAAGGGGAAGTTAAGTGTCTCAATACAAACGTTAAGTCCCACTGGGGGTAGACATTCTTTCTAGGTGGGCAAAGCCTCAAGACTCCTCTCAGGAACTTCTTGATCAGCAGATCTGGTGCCCATCTCGTGTTTCTAAGAGAGGTAAAGGCCAAGATCTGTACTTTGAGAGTGTTAAAACTCAGCCCTATGTCGAATCCAGATTGCAAAAACTCCAAGATGTTCTTCGACTGAGGCTGTTGTGCGTCAACCTCTTTTTTGATTGCGAACGCCTGGAATTTCTCCCAAACCTTGTAATTAGTGGCATTTGTGCTCTTTTTTCTGGATGCTAGTGGAGTCGTGATGACGATACATGAGCACCCTATGACTTCAAGAGTCCGCCTTTCAGCTTCCAAGTCTTTAAATTGAGTGTTTCTGGTCTGGGATGTACAAATTGTCCCTGCATGAGAAACTTCAGAGTTATCACTAACTTCATCGAACCCTCGACGCTAGTACTGAGAGGAGCGTGAACCACGGTCTCTTTGGCAAATATGGTTAGACTGTCAGCACTGCCACCCTCTCTCTCATTAATCGTTGAAGGAATCTAAAAATCAGTGGTGTTAGAGGGAACGCAAACCCCAGATCGAATGTCCATGGTTGGGCCAGAGCATCCACTCCGAGAGCTTCCCTGGAGCAGTATCTCACAAAAAAACAGTGGTAGCTTGGTGTTCTATACAGTATCCACCTGCGGTCTTCCCCACTTTTCGCATATTTGGTGAAACAGGGTTCGATTCAATTCCCATTCGTTGTTGGATAGGAAATGACGGGAGAGATAATCTGATTCCGTGTAATCCATCCTGGAATGTATGTTGCTCTTAGGTGGGATAAGTTGACTTCTGCCCATGTCATAATCCGGGCTACTTCCTCTGTCTGTCTGACACTACTGGTGCCACCCTGATTTTGTATGTAGGCCACTGCTGCCTGGTTGTCCATCTGTAGCATCACAGCTTTGTGATGGATCTGTGGCGCTATATTCTTTAATGCCATCCAAGCTGCCCTGATTTTCAACACATTAAAAGGACATGTCTCTGTCGGGAAAATCCACCTCCCCTGGACCCCGCACCCCAAACAAAGTGACTGGCATCCGTGGTTATGACAATCCAGGTGGTGGGCCCCAGCGTGCAAGCCCTGGCAAGATTGGAATTTCGTGCCCACCACCACAGACGGGCCTTCATCTCGGAAAGAATCTTGATCAATTGTCTGCGATTTTTCTAGGTCCATTGTTGCAGGAATCCCCTCTAAAATGCTCTTAGATGCCATCTCACCCATTTTACCAGAGGTATACAGGGCGACAGGTCGTCCAATAACCTCATACATTGTACAGCCGGTAACACTTATGCCACCAGAATTTTCGCTATACAGCTCTCGAGTGTGCATTTTTCTCTGTTGGTTGGGCCACTGTACACTGTCATGTTGAATAAGGCTCCCAGAAATATCATCTCCTGTGTAGGAGACAGATGTCTCTTCTTTCGTTTCAGTAGCCATCCCCATCTTGTCAGGATCTGCAAGAGCAACTGCTGATGTTCTAACAGTGTCTCCCTGTCCCGGGCTAGAAGCAGGATGTCTTCCAGGTAATGCAAAACCCAAACGCCTCTTAATCTCAGCGGAGCTATGGTGGCTATAAGCACCTTGGTGCACAGGACGAAATGAAGGCACAGGAAATGCAGGTGCAGTTCCCCCACCTGAAATCTGAGATACTTCTGGAAATCTTCCCGAATTGGGATATGTCGATAGGCGTCTTGTAGGACCATTGAACACACCCTATCGTTTGGCTGAACTGCCAGGATTACAGAATTCAGAGACTCCATCTTGAATCTTGGAAGTTGAATATAGTGGTTTATCCTTCTGAAATCCAAAACCTGTCTCCAACCTCCTGATTTTTTCTTCCCCAAGAACATTGGAGATTAAAACCCTGTAAATATCTGTGAGGTTGGCAGCTGTAATACTGCCTGATGCAGGATCAACAACTAAACATATTCGTGAAGGACCTTGGCTTTATCCGGCATTTACGGAATTCTGGTGGGAACATGAACAAATCTTGGTGGGCTGCGTTTGAAGGTCCAGGTGTGACCTGCAGCAATTGTGGAGAGCACCCACTGACTCACACCCCCGTCTGCCAAAATCTGCTCGAAGTGGGCCAGTCTCGCCCCAACTTTGCAGCTTTGGGCAGGTTGACTGTCAAAACTATTTTGTTCCTTCCTGTAAAGAAGTGGTTGCTTTGGGTTTCTTTAAGAAGGTTTCTTGGGTTCCTCTCCAGTTTCTTTTGAACTCACGACTGGGACGGTATGCCTTTGCATCTCTTGCTCTCTGTTGGAAAGTGTTTTTGGTAAAATATTTCTTCTTTCTGCCTTTACCTTGTGGGATCAAACCATTTTTGCCACCTGCTACTCTTAAAATTGCAGTATCCTGTTTTTCACCAGTGACTTTCCATCATATGGGATTCTACACCATGTCTGCATACCATTGCTTAAGCCAGAGTGCTCTTCTCGCCGTCACAGCATGTAGTAATTGACCTTGCCGAGCAGTGGATCACGCTTCTGCTATAAGATCCGAAGCCAGTTCTAACTCCACCAGAGCCGGTATTATACTCTCTGGTCCCATCCTTTGATTCCAGGCTGCCATTATCAGTCTATGCTCTAATAGCTTGTGATACTGAGGTCAAGGCAACCATAGGTCTGCAGGCTGCTCTAGATGCCAAGTATGACTTTTTAGGTCAGAATCAATTCTTCTGTCCAACACATCTCTGAATGAAACAGCATCTTCTAAAGGCAGTGTGGTGTTTTGTGCAAACCTCATGATTGATGGATCTACATTAGGGGCTGTTTCAAGCCAGCTCACATCCGCCTGTGTCATAGGGTACAGCTTTGTTAATCTATTCTGTTGAATAGGTCTCTTGTCCACCTTTTTCAATTCTTCAAGGAACAAATCCTTTATCTCTTCCATGAAGGGGAATGTCACCGCTTTCTTACTTGATTGCCAAAAATATTTTTATTAAGATGGCCACAGCAACTTCCGCAATCTATTGCGCATGCCGCGGGCTGCGTCATCCGCCCACGCATTTGCTTTCCAGCCGGTGCTCCACTTCCTGAACCGGGAAAAGCTGTTCTGTTACTCAGCGTGAAGCGCCGATGCCATCCACTGGCCATATAAGCTTGGAGAATCCATGTTTCTGATAAGGTAAACCTTCACCTTGTTTCCTATAGTATACAGCAGACCAGCACTCCTGCTTTTGTAAAGCCACAATGTGCATAATATGGGCCAGAAAGGTACCCAAAAAACTGGCCCACCACCACTTATGCAGTGCATTTAGCAACCTAAGTGTGCGGACTTCACCACAGGAGAGCATTAACCTGTGTGACTTGGCTGGTTTACAGCACCGTAGGAGTCAAAGCATCCGATCCCAAAGGTCTTGAGGATAAAAAAAAGGAATGCTTGAGGAAGAGGGTGTGGAAAAGTTATAGGTACGGTCCTGGAGGTTGGTTGGGGGTGGGAAACCAACCATATGTATTCTGCCATGTTATATTAGGGATGCACCAATATATCGGCTGGTGAAACATATCGGCCCAAAAATGGCCCTTTTGGCATAGTGCCAAAAGTGCCATTTTCTTGCAGATACAGCGGTGCATCCATGTATTCTCTCCTCCCCCAGGAGCTGCTCTGTGTCCCAGCAGGAAGAAGAGGAGAAACTGTGACAGCCGGCTGAGCACTGTAAGCAGCCGGTTGAGCACTGTGAGCAGCCGGCGTCCCTCCTCCTACACCGCTTAGCCTCCTGTCACAGATCAGAGGAGAACGGTTTGGGCGGAGACAGCCAGCACTGTCACAGCAGGCTGAGCTCTCCTCCCACACCGCTCACTCAGCCTCCTGTGACAGCGTGTCAGGAAGGAGATCCAATGCAAATACTCAGCGATCAATGATCGCTGAGTGTTTGTACATAATTAAGGATATGGTATGGTTACTATATCCTCAATTATGAATGAGTGGGAAGTGATCTACATAACTTCCTGTTCATTCATGATTGTGGTTATAGTAAACATAATCTGTTCTCATGTTATGAATGAACAGGAACACTCAGAGGATTCATGTTCATTTATAACTGGGGCTGCAGAAAAAGAGATTGAGGACTCTGTGTACCCATCTCTTTTTCTATTTTTAAGGGGAAATATCAGGGGTCTGTCTAGACCCCTAATATTTCTCTGAAGCCCCTAAAAGTAAATTAAAAAATAAAAATATTTAATAAAAAATGGAAAAAAAAAAAATCTAAAAAAATAAAAACGTTTAAAAAAATAAATTTAAAAAATGTAGCCTGTGGAGGGATTGAACAATTGATTCAGGTAAGCGTGGGGGGCAGGAGTATGTTGCTATGTGATTATGTTTCATGTTACACCATGAATAAGGGTGTAACATAAAACATGGTCAGAAAAGTAAACTTACCATTGAGGGCCCATTCACACTAGCCAATTCCTCTGAAATGATGCCTTCCAGGGGACAGGCTAGTGTGTTATGACAGCTCTGGTAGTATATGTTGTATCGAACAGATCGAACAGTGCTAGAGCTGTCACTGTTTAAATTTTTTCTTTAAAAAAACAACTTTATGTGTAATGTACAATGTGTGCAATCCATACAGTTCCCCCCAGTTTTTCTATGTGTCCTTGTAGTGACCTGCGCTGATCTGGTGCAGTACAATGCAGGTCATTGCTAGATGTGTAAACAGGCCCTGAGGGAGTCCTACGAAAAGATACCAAGTTGCATGCCTGTCAAAATAAAATGAAACAGTACATTGGGTGCAATACATCTTCAAGGGGGCCACATTATATCTATTGAGGACCACACCAACTGTATGACCAGATTATTATTTATTTTAGTTTAACTACCTCTGGGCCAGCCGTTGTAAAAAAAACGGCCGGCTGGGAGCTCTCTAGATCTGAGCTGGCGTCTTTAGACGTCCGCTCAGACACGCCCCCGCTGGGCGCGCGCGAGCAGGAAATGCCCAATATTTAAAAACAGGCAGGGATGCCTGTCAACATACAAGCGATCCGCCAGCTGTAGAGCCGGCGGATCGCTTGTATGGGGTAACGATCGGTGCCCCTCCCCCCAGGGGCGCATACGTGCAAAAAAGACGATTGCGCCCATTACGCCTCACATGTTACATATCGCCACGAACATCACAGTGAGAGCAATAATTCTAGGGACATCAATCACTGATAACACTAAACTGATGAGCTGTAAAAGCTTTTAAAGTGTCGCTTATGGCCAATTTTGGGTATGGTAGTTTTCTGCGATTTCGCGGGTGCGTGCAATTTTAAAGGTTGACATGTTTGGTGTCTATTTACCCGACATGACCCACACTTTTTTATTTTCCCCAAAAAACTGGGTAATAATAAATGTTTCCTAACATAATGCAAAAAAACTTTATTTTTTCAAAATTTTCAGTAATTTTTCTTAATTATAGTTTTAAAAAAACCTGCAGTGATGATTAAATACCACCAAAATAAAGCTCTATCTGTCCCCAAAAAATGGTATAAAATTAATTTCAGTACAGCGTTGCATGGCGGAATAAACGTCAGTCAAAGTACCGCAGCGCTGAATACTGAAAAATGGCCTGGCCAGAAAGGGGGTCTAAACACCTGGTCTTCAAGCAGTTAAATAGAAGGATTAAAATCCCTTTTGGGTTTTTGTTGCTAACAGGGTCTCTTTTATATAAATGATAAATGCCCCCTCACTGTAGATGTATGTTCTTTGAGGAATATATTAGAACAAAAGTGTTGTTCACCCAGGGTATAGCTTTAAAACAGATGCGAGCTGCAAAGATCGAGTGAAAGAATCAAATGTAGTTCAACATACGCAAGTTTGACCTTCCTAGATCGCGTATCATAATCAGTCTTATACATTGTATAGATACAGAATGCAAGATCCTCGGATTTACATACCAAAATACTCCTGTCTCTCCTTAGCTAGCTGCAGACCCTGAGCTTCCAGACTTCCAATAATTGCCTCTCCCAGCTGGGCATTTTGCCAGGTCCTGTGTGCCAAGCAATAGAAGTATTCATTAGTACAATCAGAACATTGTCTCTGCCATGGTCCACCTACCTTTAAAAACAGGCTTCACTCATTGAGCATAATGGCAAAAGCAGAGTAAGTGGCTCTTCTCTCTATAGTCTTTATTTGTGTATAAGTACATTTTTGTTAATACACAGTGAGGGTTTGAAAGAGAAACTGGAAGAACTTTTTCACATGGCTGTAGATATTAGTTATGTCATGTTTACCTATCACCAACCACATCCTCCTACCAGCTATCAGTACCTAAACACAGCTTCAGTAGCTGGTCACATGGGTGCTACCAAAGGTCTCTGACAAAGTCATCCAATCAATATTTAACCCTGAACACAGATCTTGATTTTGTCAGTAGCCCTGTTATCTACTGCTGCGGCTGTCCACTTTTGCAGCCAATTTGGGATAACACTGATTTTATATTTGTTACATGTTCCCATTCACATAGCATCACAAAAAAAAAAAAATGAAATTGCTGCTTGCATAAAACATTTTTATTTCTAAAAGAAAAGTTGTTCTCCGTACTGAATTGTCCACTGGCAAGGCGGGCTGGGCAGGTTCATGTTATAATTAACCCTGTCTGTACTGTGCTGGCAGATCTCATTATCAATTGTAAACTAGATTTGAACAATGTCTGTCCTAACAATCTACAAGCATTGTATGTTAATGAGTGGGAGCTCAGTCTGTCCCTAGTCTTTCGGACAGACAGAGTTTCCTGTTACTGAAACTGTAATAAAAGCTTGCAAAGGATTCAACCGCACGTCTGCTGGTGTGCATGTTCCTGGCAGTGCCAATGAGCTCAATCATGCCGCATGTGACATTTCATTCAGTTCTATGGACTCGCCGTGGTGCAATGCGGTTTTACCATGTCTCACTGAGGTGCGCTTAAAAAAAGTACTGCATGCTGTACTTTTTTTAAGCCCACTCCACCGGAACACGGTGGTATGAACCGAGCCCACCTGTAAAGGTGGCCATACACTTTACAGCCATCGCAAGACCTTAGTCTTGCGATGGTTGTAAAGTAATTTAAAAAACGTACGATCTGCCCATCTAGGACAGGCAGATCGTACTTGCGATCATCGCAAGCCCGCCCCCCTGAGGGCCGCAATGCTGAACGGGCAGTGTGCGCGTGCGCACACCGGCCCGTTCGGCATTTGTCTCCCGAGCATCATTCAAACCAGCCGAAAATCGTACGATTTTCGGCTGGTTTTCTAGCATGCTCCTTAGACAAAAGATGTGCGACCATACAGTAGAAACAGTTGCACGTCTTCATTCACACTGCACGATTCTCGTACGATCGTGGGATTTCCCGCGATTCTCGTACGAGAATCGTACACTGTATGGGCACCTTTAGAAGGCAAATTGCCTTGTCTTGCATTCGGCTGTGCTAGAAAAAACAGCCAGCACAGTCCCAACGCAATCTACACTGATTACACATTATACAATCATTGAGAGCCTAATTTAACCTGTCCTTGTAGATCAGTCTGTTTTGTGCCTACGTCTGTGTGTGTCATAAATTCCACATTGGCATTTCCAGAAAGCAGAAAAGCAAAGTTACTTACACTTTGCCAGATTCATGCAGCATTTCCAGCCACTGGCTTTGCTCAATTTCAGTCTCTGCAGCCAGCAGGATGTTTCCCTGCAGGGTAGAATGAGAGAGCTGCAGTCCCATTCAGGTATGATGAAGAGCTGTCGCACAATACGCACAGGAATAATCTGGGCTCAAGAATCGCACATAATGGCATGACTGTCATTTTACAGATCTCTGTCTGTTTATTCCTAGCTAGCTGGATCCCATGTACCCAAGTGTCAGCATTCTCTTTATTTCCCCCTAGACGTTAATCAGATTCAAACCTGCCTGGAAAATGTCAGCTCAAAATCTGAAAGCCTGGCACTCCCATTGGAAAAATAACGTTATTTCTTTGTACAAACACGTTTCACATTATTATTATTATAATACAGGATTTATATAGCGCCAACAGTTTGCACAGCACTTTACAAATACAATATACAATATATCAGTGCTACTGTCTGACCCATTCGGGTTTCTTTTTTTTGGTATATAAGAACTGCTTAGTAGAGATGAGCTTGGGATTGGTGTGAACCCATTTCGCTTGAGCTCCTCCTGTCTCGGTCAGTTGCAGACAGATGCATTCCTTGCAGCTATAAATCGCAAAGGGGCAGGGAATGCCCCTGCCGCAACTGCCACCACTGTCGGGACAGGAGGGTGAACTTTGTTTGCACCAAGTCCAGGCTCATCTCTACTGCTTAGAAAAAATGTGTGTGTGTGTGCGCGTGTGCGTGTGTGCGTGTGTGCGTGGGGGGGGGTGTGATCACTTCCTGTTCTGCTGATGACTTTTTTCCAAACAGGAAGGGAGGGTAACTCTCCAACAATGACACGGGCAGGTAAAAAAAATGCTTTCCCTTGGTAAAGTAGGGGAAGGCTAGAACCACTGTCAGTTTCCATACGTGACCCAGTTGTAGAATTCCTCTCTCTCTACCTGTCCGGTAAAATCGTGGTCAGCAGGATAGAAAATGAAAGCATATCTCTCTAATGGAGTCTCAGGTAGAAGATGTAATCCAACAGGAGTTCTGATCCTTCCCTTCTTTCCCCAAAACTAGGAAAAAGAGGTTTTGGCTTGACAAACACTTTAAAGTAGATCTAAATCCAATTACTAAACACTCCTATACAGTGACTTGTAATATGTTAATGTCGTTTTCAAACTTTAAATCTGCAGATTTTATTAAAACAGTACATGGAGATCCGGCCATGAAAGTCCTTGTTTAACCACGTCCTGTGATTGGGTGACAAGTGTCTCCCAACTGTGCTCCTACGTTGTCACCCTGTCACATTGTGCCCCTGGTGGTGACTACAAGCAGGCGTGCTGATACAGAGGCTCAGTCCACTGTTGTCACTAGGGATGTCCCGATACCAGTACTTGTACTTGTGAAAATGCCCCGATTTTTAAAGCCGATACCGGCCCTTTACATTTTTAAACAGTAGCGGCTGCTGAGTTCCCGTGGTTATCGGGACATTGGCAGCCTGCTGGGGACCGGCAAATAGCTGTCCATGGCAGGGCCTGTCTGCCTCTATTACTCCTGCTACTCCTTCCCGACACAGGCACAGCCATGGATAGCCCCAGGGGCAGAACAACGGCCGGTGGAGCCGGAGCGGCTGCCACAGGGCTAGAAGCTGGGGGTTTCTGCTGCCCATTGACAGGGGAGGACTGGGCCGAGAGAAGGATGGAGCTCGGGGGGCCTAGCAGTGGAGATGGTGTCCCTTTAACAAGAAGTATTGGTAATTGGTATCGGCAAGTACCTGAGGGCAAGTACTTGTACTTGTTTTAAAAAAAAGTGACTTCCCTAGTTGTCACTATCAGAAAGTAGCTGAAAAAGGCTGGGAAAGATCAGGAGCAATGATAGGCAAAAATTATGATAAAAGCTGAAAACATTATTTAATTTATAAAACTGTTTGTGATACATCACACTTTAGCTAACACAACCTTATCCAGTTAGGGTTTAGATCAATTTTAACAGAAATGACTTGCTATGCATTCTACAGTACACACTTTAACTGCTCTTCAAAGTGTACCTGTAATGTTATATAAGCTCCTTTTATAAGACTGCAGTAGAAGTAAGCAGTAACTTGGTCACATCACTACTGGTTATCCTTGTTTTTGCTTGTATTACTGACCCCCCAGTACGACTGTGGTCTGGATTCTCAATTTCTCAACTTTCTTACCACCAATAAAAGAATGTTCAGGTTTAGGAGAACCCTGCAAAAATGAAATCATCTCTGAAAGGAATGCCTCTTACATTGGTGGTCAGTGGGAAGAATGTCCCTTACATTTGTGGTCAGTGGGAAGGCTGCCCCTTACATTGGTGGTCAAAGGGAAGAATGCCCCTTACATTGTTGCTCAGTGGGAAGGATGCCCCTTACATTGGATGTCAGTGAGAAGGATGCCCCTTACATTGGATGTCAGTGAGAAGGATGCCCCTTACATTGGTGGTCAGTGGGAAGGATGGCCCTTACATTGGTGATCAATGAGAAGAATGCCCCTTACATTGGTTGTCAGTGGGAAGAATACCCTTACATTGGTGGTCAGTGGGAAGGATGCCCCTTGCATTGGTGGTCAGTGACGAGGATGCCCTTACATTGGTGGTCAGTAGGAAGTATGCCCTTTAGGATGGTGGTCATTGGGAAGAATGCCCCTTATATCGGTGGTCAGTTGGAAGAATGCCCCTTACATTGATGGTCAGTGGGAAGAATGTCCCTTACAGTGGTAGTCAATGGGGAACAATACACCCCTACAGACTTCTAAAAAGATTGTTGGTGTCATGCAGCTGGCTCAGCCAAGTGGCTTTGGAGCTGGAATTTTACAGGCACCATCAGATGAGAGGTCAGTCAGCCATAGCTCAAGGAACCCCTATCCACCTCCATGAAACCCTGCTTGAGAATGGTTGTTTTATACACTTATGGGTGTTGTATCAGTTACATGTTTATATACATACTGCTGTATACAGCTCACAGTCTTTACTTTGAGTTTTCAAACCTCCTATTTATACTAAATAAAACTCAAACAACCCACAACCACACAAAAATAAATGAACCGCAAAATCCCATTTCTGGGAGTTTACAATCAAATACCTACATGGAAATCTGCATGTGAGATCCTAATGGCATATGGCATGCCAGGTTCCTCCTTATCTTCCACCTGGCAGCCACCAAGTGGTATTACTCCCTGACGCAAAGATATAAGGTAACATAAAATATCAAAGAGTAGAAAGGTTATATAAAAAAATATATAAAACTCTGGAAAGTAAATTATCCTAATAACGATTGAATGGCTCATAGTTTGAAGCATATTTCAACTAAAGTCTTGAATCATTCCAGACCATTCCATTACCATTTAAAGGACCTTACACAAAAACATCAAGCTACACATGAACACAAATATTGGCCATATACATAACCTGACAGTGAGGAACCATTGGCAGAGTAATAAAACAGCGACCACTAAAAGATTTCAAGCATTACTGCGCATGAATAATTCTAATACATAAGAACATCTCTATTATTCATAAAACTATTGCCATGGCAGCTAAAACACACGAACTGTATAAAGGCAAGAACTGGTCATCTTGCACACGATTGCAGAACTAACTGGGTATGGCTTCTGGGATTCATTTGATTATGATATTGGGATGTGCAGTCAGGCTGAAGCTTTAGAAGACTGTGTTGTTATACTAATGAGCATACACTGGTAATCTCCGTACAGGGTTATAGATGTGTCAGTAGCAATAAGGATTAGCAATGTTAATGCAAAGCTCACCTTGGGGTGAATATTAAAATATCTGTTGCTTTCAAAGTTCTTCCTTTCACTCTCAGAATAGTAAAGCAAAAAGCTGTCCTTTATTATAAAGAATCTGTAAAAAAGTAAGACAATGCCCATTGCATGCTTCAAAATCTCTATAAATCACAGACCGCTTATTGAATATTTAAAAAAATGCATTTCAAAAGAATACTTTAACTCTATATAATGGCTTGTATGGCATGGATTGTAATCATGGCTTATTCTTACCTCTTAGACCATTTAGCAGACTGCCTCCCAAAGGGTCTTTTCCATAGCACCCCCTGAAGCTGCACCTTGGTTCTAATGTCCAGATTGTCAGTGTCTGTATGATCCATTGATGGAGAGGGAGAAACAGAGTTTGATTTGGAGTTAAACATGCTGATCCAGGCGTGGTCCTTCCTGAAGCTGCCAGAGGACAGTCGTATCTTATGGCCTGGCAGAGAGGGGGGAGAGGACACAGAGAGGGATGAAGAGTAAAGAGAAGACAGAGAGAAAAGAGAGTTAGAAAAATAGAAGAGAAGAACAGAGAGACAGTAAAGAAAAGGAAGCTACAGTCGATTAGTGAACAGAGCCGATCAGTGTAGCATTGTAAAAGACAAATGTTTAAATGAAATGGAGGGATGAGAGCTGGGATGGAGGAGAGTGATGGGAACGTTCCACTTTCAATCAATAGCTTCTCTGCTGAGTCAATACATGCCTCAGTAAATGAAAGTTCATGGCCATCTCTGATCATTTGTCTAATGACACAAAAAAGGCTGGAGAGAGCTATCAGCCAGGAGAGAGAGGATGGCTGAGCTTTAGCAATTCTTAAGCACTGTGGCTGGTACCTTTTAATTGCTGTGCAGACAAGCAAACCCTTGAAAGTCTCTTCAGAGGAAGAAATGATTATAACTTTTTCTGCTTACTGCATGGCTCTTGGAACTCAAACTTCTTTATCTGTCTCAGTACAACCAACATTGATATTTCACTTCTTACTAGATGCTGGGGAATTGTATTGTATCCATAATGTTCACTAACAGTTTTTTTTATGTTCCTGTCAATTTCATGTGCAATTCTACCACAGCAATTAAGAGGGGTGTCCGGTCACCCTTTTGAAAAAAAAATTATTTTATATTATGCAGAATGTAGTATATGGGAATACATGAATGTGAATCTGTTTTAATATGGAAAAGGAAATATCTCAAAGCAAGGAAAGAGCATGGCACGTAGACACTAAAGCAAATCAAAAAAAATACATGGATTATGCCAGAGTTTCCTGATTTGTGAAATGATTGCATAGATGCCCTGCATCCTGCAGGCCAGTCCTAGGATTTTGGACATTGTTCCATAGGATCTGGATCATTGTGCTCAGTGGCAGCAGGAGCTGAGTGCAGGAACACTGTACATGTACACCAGCAGCAGGCGGACGTAAGTAACCGCTGAAAGGTTTAATTTTGCTCCCACTGACACCAAAAATAGGGTGCATATTGCTGCCAATGGCAACCAAAGGTTCAGTTTGCTCCTAAAGACAACAATGATGGGGTTCATTTTGCTCCCACTGAAATAAATGATAGGGAACATTTTACTGCTACTGGCAGCAATTAAAAGGTAAAATTTTGATCCCATTGACACCAATGATAATTTATACTTTTTTGCTACTACCATCAAGAATAGGTTGCAATTTGTTCCCACTGACACCAATCATGGGATACATTTTTCTCCCAAGGACCCAATGATAGGTCAGTATTATACTGTGGGCCACAATGGCTGTATTGGGCTCACAGGCAGCCTGGGCTCACAGGAAGTGTGCTAAATGATTATGACCTTAACTCAACCCAGAAGAGAACCAGCTGCTAGAAGCGGAGTGTAGATTCTGTGGCAGACAGAGCTGAATACAAGGTGAGTATTGCAATAAGAGGATACAGGATTCCGTAACGCACTGGACTCAGGACTCAGTAATGCACTGGACTCTGGACTTAGTAACGCACTGGACTCAGGATTCTGAACCGCACTGGACTCAGGACTCAGTAATGCACTGGACTCAGGACTCAGTAATGCACTGGACTCAGGACTCAGTAATGCACTGGACTCAGGACTCAGTAATGCACTGGACTCAGGACTCAGTAACGCACTGGACTCAGGACTCAGTAACGCACTGGACTCAGGACTTTGCAACACAATACCCCAAATTTGACTTGCATGCATGCAACAATGACAGGACTGGGAGCAGGGTGCAAGGACTGGGGGCAGGGTAAAAGGACATTAATGTAATCCACCGTATTGGGTCAATAAACACATGCATTCCACTCCAGGGTGCAGAGTACCGATCCACTCCCACCCTGCTCACCTCTCCATGCTCGCCAGACAGTTCATTATGAAAGCCAGGCTGGTGATGGGGAACAGCACCCCCGGCTCCAGGTCAGGCCGCATGGCAGCAGGCTGGAGGGTTGATTGAGGAGCCCCTGGTGGCAGCTGGGACTGAAGTCATTCAGCATCTTCTCCATCTCCATGATGAGGGTGATGAGCATCTGGAATGTACAATGTGCTGGGTGCAATGTACTATGAGATGTGGGACAAGAGATAAGCAGTGCGGGGGAGGGGGGTATAACAGCTATAGGGCACTCATAGTCCCCCGAGGAATGATGCAGCAGCTGGCTGGGCACAGCCTGTCCCTCCCCTCAGATCTATCCACTCTCTGTCCAGACCGGCCTCCTCTGTGTCCCCGATCCTCCGCACCACGGAATCCTCTGTACTCCCCAATAAGCGACCCCGATTAGGGTGTGCCCAGGCACACCCCATGCACATGCCTATGGGTCCATGTATGTGTTGTAAAGTAGCCACCACTCTGAGCTCACCCGTGATGGACTACAATTTCAATACAAATTAGTAAACTAAATGTAAGATTGTAGTCTAATTCCGGCCGAAGCCGACAGGAGCTGCTCTGCGGTCTGCATCTGTCGGACCGTGTAGCTGCTCCTGCAAGTCGGGCCGTGTGCCCGACTTGTCAGCTAGGGACCATGGAGAATAAAAGTAGTCACCCTCCATAAGGAAGGACAGGGTCAGTATCACTTTAGAGATGATTTGAGTATCTACAGCAGAGTGATGCACAAATAAGATACATTTTTGTTAATAGTTGAGGTACTTGAATGCATTTTTAAGATTTTTCTCTCACTTTAATGTTGTAGCATGAAATCTTTATGGCCCTTTCCCACACACATCAGTGACTAGTGTTTTTTTCCCACTGGTTCCACACCAGTCACCACTAGGGCACCATAGAAAACAATTGTGTTTAATGTGTCCTGCTGGAAGTACAATGCATGTGTGATGTGCGGTATATCCACATTTTAACGCGGCACACTGGATGCCATTGGAGGTCATCGCACCGCAACACAATTAACAGTGCGGCCTTGCAGAGACACTCCAAATAAATTTAAGAAAATAAAAAAGTAAACAGTGCCTTGTGTTGTAAGAATGCAAGGCACTGTGGCTCACCACATGCACCTTGTTTTACCATGCTGCTAGAGTAATCGAGTCTTACAGTCATAAAGTCTATTTATCAAATTTTTCACCCAAGTCACGCAACTTTCATTCAAGATTCACACATTCAATTAGAAAATGTGTACATTTGTGTGGACCTTATAATGTTTACTCTTTTTAGGTGTTGCAGAGGGCTCTTTTACACTATAGTGCATGCAATCATGCACACATAATGCATATGCTCTGTCATGCAAACATACAAAGTTTTGCATTGCATTTTAATTTCTTATTTTGCCTGACCTTGAATTATGACTTTGTTGAGTCAACACAGCCCAGAACTGGGGTTGTGAATGAGTCCTAAGTCAGGAAGTGTAAAATCTGTGGAGTGCCGTTCTTGTAGTTTAATTATAGATTTAAAAAAAGTTTAGTTTTTAAAAGATGCTTTAAAAGGAAATTACAATTGTCACTGAGATATAAAGTAATAAGAAATTCATAGTTTACAGTTGTCTCCGGAACAGGAATGGAGAATTCTTCCAAAGGGGACACCTGTTCTGGTGAATAGATGTCTAAAGAGGAATTTTCCTCACACTTCCTGTTTAGTCTCCAGTATAGACAGTGCAATGATGTCTGCCCAATGGGAGAAAAAAAAATTAAGTTCCATTTTAACTAATATCAAGTAAGTGCATGGCTTCTTTATTCATTCAAAAATTGGCATATCTGATTACAACAAGAAGAGACTTCTCTTAGGCCCCTTTCACAATGGCTGATCGGAAGAGGATCCGTGCACGGATTCCCTCCTGATCGGAGCAGTCCAGATCGGATGTTACCGCTTGTGATGGAGGCAATAACTAGAACTGGAGGACCCCATGTTTGTCTATGGGGAGTAATGCGTTTACATCAGATTATCCCTGATCCGGCACGGTCAGGTCCAGTGAAAAAACTGTTCCGTTTGTTTGGAGCCCGGGGTAACCAGGTGTAAATGGATGCCCATCCATTTAGATCAGTCTGCCCATAGACTTACATTGGGCCTCCGATCGGGTCCTACTGAAAAACAGACAGGCAGACCCGATCGGAACTCTCGTGTGAATGAGGCCTTACAGCTTACACGTTTCACACTCATGGGTGCCTAATTATAGATTGGCACCTGCTAATAAGGCTGATAAAGGTGGACCGACCTGGAGCAGCACTGTTTTTGGATTAGAAAAAAACAATTGACAGGGTGTTTTCCATCTTCCACTCTATCCAAAACCTAAAAAAAAAGTTTTCGCTATACATACACTGTACAATGCAATTTATTTCCATCATGCCTAAAACATATTTTAATGTTTTATTAATTACAATGAATGGAAGCCTACTCAGATACTTAAAGACAATATTATAGATGTGCATATATGTCCATCTATTGCTGGCATGAAGGTCAAGCTGTACTTTGTTTCATAGTAGTTTATCATGCACAATGGCTGCAGGTTGACTAATCCATTAACTGTTTCTATAGTATTTATCAGCTAATATAGTATGGTCAATGTAGAAGGGGCTCAGCTACAGTTTTAAAGACTCCTGATTCTTCTATAAGATTTGAGCCCAGGTGATTTGAGTAGGATCTGCTTAACAATCCATCCAATCACCTAGGCAGGTTCTTGAGACCCCTATTAGCAGTGACCTCCCATGGCATGAGCAACATTCTCCCTTTATTAAAGACAAAAAACCACTGTTGACGTTAGGGAAAGCCAGCCATCGTGGACCTACCACAGCGCTTCTGAAATGTGTACGTTTTGCCTTGACATTCATTTTTTTATGTTACAGTATTAGACAACGTATCCGCAATAAACTCCTATGAAACACTTAGTAGCAGGAGCAGAAGCAGCTCGAGTCAGCTCCTAGGCTTGGTGCTGGACCACGGCTGTCAATGACATATGGTTTGTAGCAAGCATGTTTCAAGATTTTGTTTTAGGATTAGCCGGTTTTATTCAGCACTTGTTAATAACCGAAAAATATAAATAAT